TTTTTTTTTTTTTTTTTTTACATTTTTACAGACATCTTGGATAGCAAAACAGTCATACACTGCAGGTGTCCAAATGAAAATGGGCTTTGTGGAGAGAAACTCTTTTCTTCTCATGAAACACTTCCACACTCACATACAGAGAGAAAGAGAGAGAGAGAGAGAGAGAAAGAGAAAAAAACTCCCCACATCTGACTCCAAAAAGGAACATGAAAAGCTGAGCAGGAAGATCAGAAAAGGTATGGGTTTCTGGAGGGGTAGCATGACTACAGACTGATATTTGATCTCTGGACCTCATAGCTTTAGCTGCCACTTACCAACACCAGTCTCTCTCCAAGGAATGCTATAGCATCTTTGAGCTATTATGATACAGAGAGATTACAACCAAGCTAAGTTCCTCCATCCCTGTTTTAACAAGTACCTTCAAATGCTTCAATGGTTATGTTGGGAGGAGGTGTAAATATTGCCATGTCACTGAATGAACAGTAGATGTATAAAAAGCAGTGACCATGCAGTGCTTCTTCAGCCGATGTTAACCTTGTCCAGGAGTTTCCAGGAGCTGGTTTAGTTCTCTCATCCTGCCTCATAAGCTGGCTTTATTCAGATATAGTTACTGAAACATGCAAGATCACACAAGCTGATGCGCTGAAGTGAACTGTTGGCCTGCTTGTCTGTCAGTGGTCAATGCCTTTCTTTGACTGGCTTTATTACCGTGTGGTGCTGTCAAAAATTTGAGCTGGAGCCCATCCTCAGTGGGACTGCAGAGCTGTCGAAATGATTGCCTGAATAATGTGTAGTATGTTGTCGTGTTAAGTCTTAGGTTTCATTTTTATGTGGATAACTCATCCAGCACACATCAAAAAGAGGTCTTGAACAACTGGCTACCCACAGTAGCCTGTCTGAGCTGTTTCTCTCCCAACTGTATAGTTGGTCCAATAAAAGGTATTCCCAAACAAATCCTGATTCTCTTTCCAATTATCATATAATAGGAATTAAAAAGAAGTATTTAGCTACCAGAAATATACCTTTTAGTAAGAGGTTTTAAATTTTTTTGCTTAATGCTTTCTTGAATTTGTGGATGGAGCAAGAGGTAGCAATCAAGTGGCTTAGCTAATAAGAGGCACATGCTAATAAGAGGCACATGCTTGTTCCCTAGTACAGGTTCTGCAGTGTTTCAGGGTGGGAATAGAAATCTGGTGGCAGTACCCATACAGACTGGACTAAACCAAACCTCAAGATCTTAACTTCTCCAAACTTAGAAATGGCAGGGCGAGCACACTCACTCCTTAATAAAATAGCCTGCAGTTTAACGTGGTGAGTTTTACATGTCCACAGAATTTGGGTTTGTCTAGACCAGAGAGCTGCTATACAATAAGGGAGGGTTTGTATTTGAAGGGTAATTCCATGCTAGCTTCCCTGTGGACACTCTTATTTTGCACTCAGCATGCCTTTCAACATTTCAGGCTAATCCATGGAGAGTAGATTAAGCTGAACCACAAAAGGCACTCATAGTGTGAAATAAGTGTGTCCACACAAATTGCTTCTTAGCTCAAAGTAAATGTATCCACAAGAAGATATTTTGTAGGTTTCTGGGGGGGTATTTCCCCATATAGACAAGCTCTCAGAACCCGGCCCTGTGACTAGACCTGTGTTGGCGGACCCACATGCAATGTACTGATTTCACTGTGGTTTTCTGTCCAAGGAGAGGCAACTGAGGAATGAGGACCCCAACATGTAACCCATTTTCTAATGTGCTTTGCTTTAAATCTGAGATGTGTAAGGATTGCCAGATAGGTGCAGGCCTCTGCCGGAAATTCTGTACATTATCAATCAAAGGGTATTCCAGGCAACCATGAATCTATGGACATTGTTCTTAAATTTACATTTATATACATATATGTACATATGTACACGTGTATCTGTTTTAGGGCCTGATTTACTACTGTGTTTTTCCAATTATGACCTGACTGATCTCCAGGTATAACTTGATTGATTTCTATGGAGTTACACTGGCATAAAGCTGGTGTAACCCAGTGGTGGACTGGTCTCTATATCTGGGCACTCAATATATAAAGTGGCCCAGACACAAATCCTCTTGCCCTCATCTGCCCATCACATACTCACATAAATAGGCCCTGATCCTACAGTCCTGAATGAGACAAAAGTCCCATCAATTTAAAATAAGTGGGATTTTTACCTGAGAAAGGACTGAACGTTTAAGTGCATTTTAGGCAGGTTTTACAGCTTTGAATTTTACAATGTATGTCCCACTCAGACCTCAAAGTCTCAGAAAATAATTCAAGTTACTGCAGCAAAATGTCTTCAAAAGTCCCCAAATCTGATATTCTGTATCAGAACCAGAGAAAAAATGGAGAAGATCAAACAACAAACATATGAAGAAAGACACTTAAGTAATGGAAATTGCTGAGTAAAAATAGGAACAGTTTAAATTAGATGTCTGATTGTTGTTGGTGCCCAAAAGTTATAAATAATTCAGTTCACCAACCTAAAGAGTCTAAGGTTGCGCTTCTATTCTGTGGTTCTGATTACCTGAACTTTTCCTTTATATTGTATATTGTTAATAAAAATCCCTTGATAAAACCAAAGCCATATATCTGTATGACAAAAATAGACTTCTTGGGTAAAAATTTCAAAAGTGGGTAAGTGCTTTAGGAGTCCAAGTGATATTTTCAAAAATAATTTAGGCACTCAGGAGCCTAAAACTCATTGTGACTCAGGTTCCAAAGTGCCTAAGTTTCTTTTGAAAATAGAACTAAGTTGCTAACATGGTTTTGAAGTTTTTGCCCTTTCTTGACATACTGTAGACTCATCATCTTTGGCTGAGAATTTCTGAGTTGGTGGAAATATAACACAGTTATTTTAAAGGAAATACCTCATCACCAAGTTTATATTAAAAGTTTTTTCAATGCTAGGTGAAATTTGCTATCATTTCTTGTTGCTGCTCAGTGCTCTCAACTTATGAAACTCCTTCCTGTGCTGAAAGACATAAGGTCTAGGCCTAGCTGTCACTGAAGGCATACTTTGAGGCTTGAAGTTAGACTTGGGTGATGTACAGGCCTGCTTCCCTTCTACATAGGCGTGATTTTCACATCAGGCAATCAAAAACTTTTCAGATTTGGAGCTGACATGGAGAGAATTTTCCTTCTAAATCAAACTGGCCTCCTGCCTTTAAGTTCTAGTGAACCCTCTCTTATGTCAGGAACAGCTGACATGGGAGTTCTGTGAGAGTCTGTGAATACCAAGGCTATCATTCTGATAGGCCTTTAATCTCCTTTATAATACCTTCTTCCTACGCACCTCATTGAGTATGCCCACTTTCATTTAAAGTCACCATGGGGTCTGATCCTTGATCCCATCAATCACTCTCTTGCTATGCCACATGTACATGGCAGAAGCCATCTCATCCCAATCATGCATTTCTACTTGCTGGCTCTCCCTGCCTGGCAAGCTTAAACTCAGGTGCCTGCACAGGTCTGGTTCAAGCATTGGCCCCCAGATATGCCATACATTCAATTTAAGGCACCATAAAAACCAGCCATAAGCATGTTCTACATTATATGTGGAACATTTTTATGGCTGATTTGCCACTGTATGGTGCCTTAAATTGGGTGCATTTATGCTATGATTAATGCATTAATCATGGCATAAATGTAACGTGTAGAGGGGCCCTAAGTAACTTCCTTCATTGCCATAAACAGTACACATTGGTGTCTGTGGTTCTGGGTGGTAAACAGGATTTGTGAGCAAGTCAGAATTTTTTTAGGTATAGTATCCACAGTTCAGGACTGACTGGACACAGAAGAAAGACATGGAGGCATCCTGTCTCTGAGTTTAGGTTACAAGGGATAAAGACAACACTGGTGACCATTTAGTAGCCAAATACCCTAGAGTGCAAATTCACAAATCATCCCAGTTCCACTGTGCTTCCCCACTAGTCTTCAGCACTGCATATCAATAGCAAGTGTGAATGTGGTACGCAACACAGAAATATGGAATTTAATTGCTTTGCAACTCCTGAGTTAAGTATAAAAAAATAGAAAAACAATATTATGCTTTATCCTGCCATGTATTTTCCCTATATACAGTACATACGCCAGGTACATATCTACAACATATGGGCATAAATATTGTGTGTGTATGTGTGTCTGCACATGAACTCCACATGGAAACAAAGTTATTTCCTACCACTCTGCAGTGCTGTCTTACTAGAAAACAAAATATTGCTGCTCCTGAGAGAAAGAGACTAATAGCACAAGCTACTGGCAGATATAATAGAACAGTTTTCCACACAACTCTGTCAATGCACATCAGTTCTGATCTGCAACAACTGTGTCTGACCTGAGGAGACAATCTACAGCTTCCCCAGTTGTTTCCACCCAGGGCTCCTCCTGAACAAGGCAGGCACCTGTGCTCAATTTTGCAGTGATTTAGGGGTGGTTTAATGTATGGTAGATTTTAAATGAACTTGAACAAGAACTTGTGGAACAAGAAATCATCCACAGACTAGACTGTGTTAGGTATGGTCTAAATCAAGAATACAGATTTGTGTCTCATTACCTGGCTTAGTTTTTATAACCCCTCAGTGGGCTGACTCCTTTTTCTCTCACCTTGCCTCTCACAGCAGTGCCCACCTCCTTTTTCCTCCCTGTTTCCCTAATGTTCTAATCACTGCTTTCTATTTAGCAGCTTTGCATACTGCAGTCCCTTCACAGCCTCTGGAGTAAGCCTGCTTAGGAAAGCCTGCTTCCAAAAGCTTATGCTGTACATCTCTGATTTAGTTAGTCATTAGGGTGCAAATCAACCATGCTTTCCACTAGATTTTACCCAGGCTGTCACCTAACCTTTTTCTTGAAATTAATTCTAGTTGCCTAGGTGGATATTTGAATTATGATTATAAAATACTATATTAGGTTGCATCTTGTATCCTATTTATGTCAAGAAGAATTTTGCAGTTGACCAGTGTCAGTGGAAGAGGATTCTTTGTTCTATTATTGTTGTGCCGGTCGAGTTACAACTAAGAAGGGAATTATATTATGATGCCTTTGTGTTTATTGGGGATGAACACACTGAATTAAGAAAAAGAATAAAAAAACCCGATCAGAACCACTACCTCTTTCTGGAACCAAATGTATACACAGAAAAGTGTGGACATGCATTTTCACTTTCAATACTGTCTAGGAATATACTGAAATAATCTCTGAAAAAATCGATTTCACAGGACCTGATGCAAACCTTGCTGAAGTCAATGAGAAACTTTCCACTGCTGTCAGTGAAATTTGGATCAGGCTCTTGGATCTTTCTGGCTGGGACTGAAAGTAGCAGCACTGTAAATTTTGACCCAAGGCTTGTTCTCATCAGCTTTCCTGCTCAGTTCAACAAAGCCAAAAGGTCCGATAGTTCAGAGTTTGCAATCAAACTTTAATTTCCTTGTTTCAGATTAAACTCTTCACCTTGGAGATGAATCCATCCCTAGGTTTTATAGGCTGTTTGTGCTTCACACACATTTTTGACTCCCTGGCTTCCAGTGCTATCTGGCAACCTTCCAGAGCTGTCTCAATTTTTCACCTCAAGACTTCCTCTGCTGCTTGGATGAGCACTTTTCTGTCTGCAAGCTGCTTGGGACATGAAGAAGTTTTAAATTTGGGGAGCAGAAGACCTAACATTGGGACACTGGGCTAGTTTCTGTGTGTGTGTCTTTGCCTCTTGAGGCCTTCTGTGAATGAACATGGAAGAAAGAGCTCAAATAATATATGTCTTTGTTTAGACTCTACAGTTGTTATTTCCTCTCCATTTCACTCTTGGCACTTAGTTTGGCACTCAATTAAGGACAGATTATAGCAATTTTCTCCTAAGCTACTTTACTGGTGGAGCTCCAGGGACAAGCCAGGATCAGAGGTGCTGCAGCAGGGACAATGGGACAGTGATATAGAGTCATTCAGTGACGCTTGGGGCATATAGGATTTCCCCTGTCCACGAACACTCTTTTTCAGCAAGTGGTACATCACTTGATGTACAAATCAGCTAACAAGTCCTGACTACATTGTACCCAGAGTGAGGCAGGAAAACATTTACACGTTTTAATGATTCTCTGCTGAAAGGGTAAGGAACATTCAGTCAGAGGATTTTCTTTTTGTTCTTTCAGACTAGATGGAATCATTTTGTCAATCCAAAGCAGCTTGTCAAAAGCCAGCTCTTTTCACCTGGGGGGACTGTGAACAGCAACTGAGAACTGGGACATCAAAAACTGTGCCTTGAAGAAATGCTTAAAAATATTCATTGAGCAACAGGACTAATTTGATCAGGGTAGATCCGTTCTGTGGTTGTAGAGAGGGGATAGATGGTATATACAGGTGGGCTGGTATGAGTTAGGTATTTTGACACTCAAACAGCTTTAGCTTTAAGAAAGTGGCATATACAGTACATAGGATATAGAGTACATGGAATTTTGCCATGTAGTACAGTCACATATACACTGCCCCTGGTACACATGGACAGGAGAACCATCTCTTAGTTAACTCACTGAATTCACAGAACAACTTCACTATACAGTAATTGGAGATTCACTATAGCTAAACTGCAGTTTGCACATTGCAGTGCAACAAAACAATTCATCTGAATTGACACAATTCATTCTACTTCACTATGATTGGAGTATCATGATATTTGCATTCTCTGTGAGCAGGATCTTTTGCAACTCCCTGGAACATAGGTTTGCTGTCTTAGAAATGATCCGTGAAAGGCAATGTGTGAGAGAGTCTGGCAAACACTGGACCTCAATATTATCAAGCTTCCAGAAAGGGAATCCAAACACCCGTTGATACATCAGCCTAAGACAAGTTTATCACATGAGCTATGTGGGAAGAGGGGCAAGAGGAACAGGGGCTCAATCCAGCAAGGTGCTGAATACTATCCAGCAAAGAACTCAAACACACGCTTACTTGAAGCTCTGAGTAGATCTATTGAAGTAAATATAATTACTTACATGCTTCAGGACATGCACATGCTTAAGGGCTTTGCTAGATAAGATCCAAGAGCTCAGCATTAGTTAGAATCAAGCCCCAGTTCCTTAACACTAGGATCACTGTCAAGTCAACCCATTCAGAATTACCTCTCAAGCTAGATACTAATTATGCCTGAGTCACAAAATCTGGATGTAAGTTCAGGATTAGATTTCAAAGTCTTCCTAAACTTCAGATCTGGGGGTTTTCTTTGGCTCACAGCAGAACTGGAGACTAATCATAACATTTAGATCTGGCTTCAGGTTTGGATCTTGACCAAAGACCACATGAGTTGGAATTCAGAGCTCTAGTTTGAGCAAACAGAGAGTGTAGCAAAGGTTTTGATCCCTAACTGTGCATATTAGATTCCTTCCACTCTATGCTGGGCTCTCAGTGGAAATCTAAGTACTCCCTAAGGATCCTGTCCCGACTTTGGGAAGGTGGGTGAAGAACTGGCTTTTCGGCAACTGCCTCCCTTGGTGAGCCAGACTTTGACATTCCATAGAAATTAAGCAATGAGGAATAACTATTCACCTGTCCCTTCAGTGGCTCCCTGCCATACTGGCTGGCAACCTGGGTTACCCAACTGAGAACAGGGCTTGGAGGGTCCTGGCTAGTTAGCCAGAGAAGTGAACCAAAGATCCAGAGTTATCATTTCTCCTCTTATGTAAAGAAATCTGGGTGTCCTACTCACACACACAGATACACACAGATACACACTTTGTAAAATGAAAGCTTCAAAGTAAACCATGTTAAGGCAGGACTATTTCTGTCCCTACAGCAGAAAAAAAGAAAAGAGTCTGGAGTATACAGAACAGCAGAATCAACTTCTGCCTCTTTAAATCTTGCCAATATCTCTATTTTGAAAATACATCTGCCCATGCGAGCTGCCACGGATCACACTATGGGTTACCTTTGCCATGCTTTCATGTTGTTTTCTGGGCCACGAGAACTGGTAGTGAACTACACTAGGCCCATCTGTTCCTCCCCTATGCCTTCTCAATGTAAATACTTGTATCCAAGACCTTTGCTACCATGGTCCCACTAATACAGGTGAATGAAAGTTTTCTTCAAGCTTGCTTTAATGAACATGACCTGTTTTTGAAAAATGGAAAATTTCCAAAAAAAGCTTCGAATTCCTTAAAATTTCCCATTTTTTAATAAGTGTATTTTTATTTTTAATGATGAATTTTGGTTTTCATGCATTGTTTTGGGACTTTCAATTATTGTTTGTTTCCCATTTCTTTCCTTATTTTTATTTCCCCACCCTCTGAACCAGTTTTAATTAGCCAGCTGAGCCATATGATAGAAACTGATGGTAAAAACTGATCAACTTTGTTTTCAAAAACATTTTAGTTGAAAAAACTACTGAGAATTAAAAAGAAAGAGAGCAACTGGGCTGCTTAAAACAAAGCCCTCTTTAAAATGTTTGCAGGTTTTTTTAAATATATGTTTCCCCCAGCCCAGTGGAGAGTGAAATTAACAAAAGCTCACCTACGCAAAGTGGCATTTGAGTGTGAACACACTCATGTGGCAGCTGGCATTAGCTTGCTTGTATAATTTGTCAAAACCAAACCAACCCACCCCCCGCAAAAAAACAAACCAAAAAATAAACCCAAACCAAGCCACCGAGCAAGAATCAAAGATAAACAAAGCAATCCTACTTTCAGATGCCCCCAAGAGTCTTCATTTCTTTGGGTCAGATTAATATTCAACAACAACATGAAATTGCCTAGCAGGAAGGGAAAGCAGAGAGGGCTTGGGGAAATGATTGACAGTCCCCCTCACTGCACTGTAGAAGAAGGATTTTTTTTTAACTAGATAAAATACTGTTCTCAACATTGTAGGATCTGGATGTCAATGCTTTCCAATTGACTCCTTCTCCCAGTTGTTTCTGTTTAGATGCCATGGATGTTTTCTATTGACTAGGGAGGAATGGCGGTGTGTGAACTACTATATGAAAGAGAGGAAGCAAAAACTATCCCTTAATTAGCAACAGGGTTATTTTCCCCTGCATTTTCTCTTCTTCCTACACAATTGTCAGTTGCTGCTGCATGAGAAAAAATATCTACACTTCTTCATGTGCTCATTCAGTAAGAACCTCTTGAGACTCCCCTCAATTACTCCATTGCTATTTCTGCCAATGCCTTCCTCTGAGCCACGCTTCCCATGTTAAGACCTGCTGCAGAGAGAGGTGGTATCTTAGCTTCCCTAGCTGACATGCCTTCACTGACTGGTTTTATCTGTTAAATTAACTGTTCTGGGATCTATGACCTGCACAATGGGAAAGGCAGAGTAGAAAGAGGTGTGGTGAGGAAAGGAGGATCAGGAGAAAGACAAAAGAAAGAGAGAGAGAGAGAGTTCCAATTGTGGATTCACAACTATATCATACAAGACTTGAGCTCATGGGAAATGGATTTTCATTCACTGCATCTGACCCATTCTCTTCCATCTGTACAGATCGTTCTCCCAAATGGAAATAGGAGATGTCCGGTGAAACAGGGCAGTTTCCAATGACAAGATGTGGGAAGGTCTTATTTGGCATACATGGACACAACAAGAAGTGCCTTCCCCCTTACAGAGACTTGTTCCCCTTTTCTCCTCCACAATGGCTTTTGCCCAGTTGTCTTTAATATCCAAAATGGAAACTGAAACAAATCACAGTCAAATAAATACCCAGGAAAAGCAACCACAAGAACTCCCCACCTCCCTTCCCCCAATGGGTCATCCCTTTGATCCAGAATCCCAAATTTTCCGATGATCCATTAAAATAAAAACACTGCACAAATCCAACAAAGGAGACTTGCTGTCTCAGAACCGGTGCCTTCCCTTGCACTTCTGTAGCTGCAGTGCCTCAGTCTTGGGCCACAAACACAGTATGTATGGTTTATAGGACAATCACATTGTAATGTTTTAAATTTTTCTTTAAAAAAAAGGGGGAAAAGAGATATACACACATGTATCACAGCATTTTCAAAAGGCCTCCTACTGCTTCTACCTTAGCAGTTCAGCCTCTGTGTTAAGCCTGGATGTAAGGCAGCTGGAAGATTAAAACAGCACTGTTGGAGCATCCGCTGAAGTGTCCTCATATTTGTTGTCGTTGTTGTTTTGATTTTTGTTTTGTTAGATTTTTTTTGTTTTCTTCTAAGTTTGGCAGGCAAAAAGAAAACGCTATTTTGTCCCCACGCATTCTGTCCATTTTGTCCTCTGTGTTTTAGGCAGAAAGAAAAACAATGATGCGGAAGGGTTTTTCTCTTCAAAAAAAAGGGGAGGGGGAGTTGACAATGGCCCCGAGGAGGTTACATTCTAGAGGTGACTCAGATGTTTGATTTGTCGCTTTGCTCATTGTTTGCATTTTCCTTTCTGTTTGAGTTTGACAGTTTTTGGTTGTTCCCCATGTCCAGAACAGTTTCAAGCTTCGGATCTCCCATACTACCCTCTTTTCCCCTCCCCCAGTGGCAGTAGATAGATGCAACAGTATGTTCACTCGACCGCTAAATTATGATGCTGAAGTTAAGAACTGGATGGAAGAGCCATGTTACAGAAAAGCTTTCCCATCTCTGTGAGAAAGAATGAAGCAACACACAGTCCTGTGGAGATGCAGGTGCCATGTTGGACTCAGCTCTACCTTGGCACTGGCATCAGTTTGAGATATATATAATTTTATATATATATGTATGTATATGTATACATATATATATATAGTTGTATGTTATTTATGTTTTAGCACACTGTCCCATTCTCCGGTCTGGATTTGGGGCAGTTGGTCCTGGGGACAGGTTGGACAGAAGGGGCCAGGGTGCAGAAGAAGCCAGAGATAAGAGTGAGGCCCAGGCCTCCCCAAGCACAGAACATTGACCAGCCATAGCCATGGCTGATGTCGTCAGGAAGTCCATACAGGTAGCGGGGGTAGCGGGACAGCTCAAAGTTGATTCCAGCCACACACGTGCACAGTGAAATAATGCAGAAGGTTCCTGGAGAAGGAAAAGAAAGGGGGAAGAAGGGAGGAAAGAACAAAGAAAGGTTAGAATTATAAAAGTATTGCTCCCCAATTGTGTGATAAAGAAACAGGACAATGAGGTAATGACTACAAATCTGGCAGTGAAAGGAACTGACACATAAAGAGATGTGACCTAGCACTTTGGAGAGGATTGAGTCGCAGTAATCCCTGGATTTTAGTTTTGGTCCTGACTGACGCTGGTTGGGAGAAACTTTAATAGAACCATTTTCTGTCAGAATATGCCAGGGGTGGGCAAAATATGGCCCGTGGGCTGCATCCGGCCTGCCAGGCCATTCTATCTGGCCTGTAGGGCCCCTAAAAAATTTAGAAAATTAATATTTATCTGCTCCTGGCTGCCTGTCAATGATGACAGGAGACAGGGGGAGTAGGACCCAGGGGGAGCCAGCAGCAGGATGCAGCAGCCCAGCCCCATCCCACCCCCAGCCATTTCCTTGCCTTCCTGCCCCAGCACTGCTCCAGCACCATGTGGCTCCAAGCTGCATCATCGGACCACAGGAGCACAGGCCTGTGCTGGTACCCCAGGGTGTGTGTATGTGTGTGTGTGTGTGTGTGTGTGTTTGTAGGGTGAGTCCCACATGCACACCCTACCATACACATGCACTCACACCCCACTTCACACTGCCATATGTGCAGACTTCCACACCCCACATATCCCCACACATACCCACATGCTCCCTCACCCCACATACCCACACATCCACAGCTCCTGCAAACCTATACCCACTCCTCCCACAATATATAAGTAAGAGAAACTTCATTTTAAGCTTTTACATACAATCACCT